CCCGGCTAAGTTCCGTGCTGTCGCCGACTTCCCCAAACCAACGACTATGAAGCAGTTACGGAGCTTCGTGGGGTTATGCTCCTACTTTCGCCGGTTCGTGCGCAACTTCGCCTCTATCATTGCGCCTTTGACCGAACTTATAGGCAGCACCACTGATATTTCGGCATGGTCTTCTGAGTGTGACCAAGCCTTCTGTACCCTTCGTCGTCTCCTCACTTCGCCACCAATACTGCGCCACTACGATCCTACGGCAGCAACTGAGGTCCACACCGACGCCAGTGGTGTCGGCCTCGGTGCGGTTCTCGCGCAACGCAAGCCTGGATTCGCCGAGTATGTCGTCGCCTACGCCAGCAGAACTCTTACCAAGGCTGAATCAAACTACAGCGTCACCGAGAAGGAATGCTTGGCGATCGTTTGGGCGCTTGTCAAGTTCCGCCCATACCTTTATGGCCGTGCTTTTGATGTAGTAACGGACCACCACGCATTATGCTGGTTATCGTCGCTTAAGGACCCATCAGGTCGTCTTGCCCGTTGGGCTCTTCGGCTTCAAGAATATGACATTCGCGTGGTATATCGTTCCGGCCACAAGCATGCCGATGCTGATGCACTGTCACGATCTCCCCTATCCCCGGACATCGCATCTGTTTCCTCGGACAACACGTTGTCAGCGCTTGACGAGGACACCATCTCTTCTGCACAACGCAATGACCCATGGATCGCTTCGCTTCTTGACGCGTTATCCGAGGCACCGACACTTCCAACCACTCGAACCCTGCGCCGCCAGGCTCCGCACTTCAGTATTCGGGATGGCCTTTTGTACCGGCGCAACTATTCAGCAGATGGTAGGAAATGGCTACTAGTCATTCCCCGAACGCTGCGCTCTACCATCTGCGCGTCGTTTCATTCCGACCCGCAATGTGCTCACGCCGGTGTTTTCAAGACCTACGAGCGCTTACGAAAAAGGTATTACTGGCGCGGAATGTTTACCTTCGTCCGCCAGTTCATTCGCGGCTGCCACGAATGTCAGCGGCGGAAAAGCCTGCCACATCCTGCAACAGGTTTATTGCAGCCACTTCCATGCCCAGACCGCCCATTCGACCGTGTAGGAATTGACCTCTACGGACCACTCCCATTAACAACGGCAGGCAACCGATGGGCTATCGTGGCAGTGGATCATCTAACACGGTACGCTGAAACTGCTGCTCTCCCCACAGCTGCAGCACAAGACGTCGCAACTTTCATACTCAATCGTTTTGTGCTTCGTCATGGTCCTCCTCGAGAACTCCTCAGTGACCGAGGGCGTGTTTTCCTCTCCGATGTAATACAAGCACTTCTTCAACAGTGCCATATGGTTCACCGGAAGAGTACAGCCTACCACCCACAGACGAACGGCTTGACTGAACGGTTTAATCGTACTCTGGGGGACATGCTCGCTACGCATGTCGCTTCTGATCAAACAAACTGGGACCTCGTTCTCCCATTTGTGACATACGCGTATAACACCGCTACGCAAGTCACTACAGGGTTTTCCCCATTTTTTCTCCTGTACGGTCGCGAACCATCACACACCATCGACACTTTACTCCCATACTCGCCAGATCCCTCCGAATACAAGCCTGTCTCGGAAGCCGCTCGTTACGCAGAAGAGTGCCGCAAGCTAGCCAAGCGGCTTACTACATCCGACCAACAGCGCCAGAAGGAGATCCGTGACGACGACCATCGTTCTGCACCAACGTTCGTTCCTGGAGCACTTGTATGGCTTCATGTACCGCCCTGCGCCCCTGGTGTATCACCCAAGCTACTCTCCAATTATCATGGTCCCTACCGCGTGGTCGAGCGTACTTCACCCGTGAACTACGCCATTGAACCCCTCACGCCACCGAGCGACCGTCGTCGGCGTGGACGTGATATCGTTCACGTAAACCGTCTGAAGCCGTACTTTGACCCGCTTGTCCGCACGTGTTAGATCGCCAGGATGGCTTCAACTTTTTCGCCGGGGGTAATTGTAGTGAAGAAGAAAGACGTTGATACCATCAGGTGAGCTATCATCAGCACAAGAAGAAGGCACGAGATCGGCGATCAAGCACCGTCATCTGGGTTCGCCTGCGTTCCTTTCAGAGCTACCACCCGCTTGCTCAGTCCTTCAATAAACCCCCTTTACACTAGTATCATCAAAGAGTATGCAATTGAAATCCAAGGTACAGTCACTAGACAGGACACTGCCAAGCTATCTTATAGGATACGCAAAATCTTGTTAAGAGACGACAAACAGTACAAAGCCTCAAAGGCAATCGACAAAATAGAGCTAGTGGAGCTTGCGATTATAATCAATGGACGTAAGGTGGCCGGTATTGGAAGGTATAACATGGAGAGAATTCAGCAGGCTTTAAAAAGCGGCAGAAACCTAAAAGCTGCGAAGGCAAACTTGTGCAATAGCTAAAATTGGATGTATGCATTAAATGGGCCCTGCAACACTTTTTGAGCATGGTCAGAAAACGCTGAAGATCGGTAATAGAGGCTCCCGACAACACGCGAGCCAAATAACATAGCGAAGCACGTGGTCTGGAATTCACAAAAAATTGTCAAAGTCAGCCAAAAAAAGCTTCCTCTTCTCTTGACAAATCAAGGAAGACGCTGGAAAATCGCTCGTAAAGAGCCCATCTATTGCCCATTGGCGGATTTACACATGGTGCCCTCGGTCGTTACACAGATCGCTGCGAGAATCCGTGACTTGTCCAGGCGTGCGCGCGCGATCACACTAAAAAAGCCGTGCATTGGAAAAAAAACAAAGAAAAAGGGCTCAATGTCACGAGGTGCGCGTTTTTTGCCCCTGCCATCCCTCTCTGCTTAACTTCCAGTGCGTTCGTCAAGACTGGAAAAGATATACTGCAATTGAAGCATGCGACAAATCTTTGTAACTCCACTCGCGCTGAATGGAGCCTTAAAATTTTTTTTCAGCGTTCAATTCATAAGGGAATAAGCTCTTCCAATGAATTTATTTCATGGTTATCTGAAATGGTGTTTTTGGACGCCTTCAAGGGGCAAGAAAAGCAATGTCATAACGAATATGGTTAGGATAGTTGAGGTAACAGAAGAGTTCTACAGAGAGTTGTAGTGAAGTTGAAACAACCAGGATTACATCGTAATAAAAAGGAATAATAGCCCAGAGAAATTCGACATCCCACCAGTAACGACAGTTGAAGTAGGCAAAGCCCTAAAAAGAATTCAAAGAGGCAAAGCCGCTGGTGAAGATAAGGTAACAACGGATCTGCTGAAAGATGGCGGACAAATTATGTTAGAAAAAGTGACCGCATTTTGTACGAACTGCCTTTTGAAGGGAAGGTACCATAATCTTGAAAGAATGCCAACATAATAATAGTTATAAAAACGGAGACGTCAAGGACTTGAAAAATTCAGGCCATGTAGTTTACTGTGTGTTCTCTACCAACTATTTACGAAATAATAGCTAATAGAATTGAGCGACCATAGATTTCATTCAACAAAAGGACCAAGTAGAATATCGTACAGGCAACTTTGTAATAGACCGTATTCACACTATGAATCAAGTAATCGACAAATCCGTGAAGTACAACCAACCTCTATACATAGCCTTCATATATTACGAGAAGGCGTTTGACTCCGTGAGAGCATGAGCAATAATACAGGCACTATGGAATCAGGGCATCGACTGAACTTACATAACACACTGAAAGCATTCTACAGTTATTCCACAGCCACCAGAGTTCTCCATAAAGAAAGTGACAGAACTCTCATAAAATTAGTTTAAGGCCGGGAAACACGATCTCTGCAATGCTATTCGCCGCTTGTTTACAGGAAGTTTTCAGGGCCCTATATTGGAAAGAGTTCGACATAAGAGTTAGCGGAGGGTATCTTAGTAACCTGCAATTCGCTAATGACATTGCCTTGATGAGTAACTCAGGGGACGAACTGAAGCTCATGAGTACTGAATTAGAAACGGAAAGCAGAAGAGTAGGTCAGAAGCTTATACTGAAAACTAAAGTAATGTGCAATAGTCTCGGCAGAAAACAGCATTCTGCGATAGGTGGGGAGTTGCTGGATGCTGTAAAAAGTATGTCTACTTCGAACAGGTAGTACCCACGGGGCCGTACCGTGAGAGTGAAATGACTAGAAGAGTAAGGATGGGGTGGATCACATTCGGCAAGCGTTCTCAAATCATGAATCGTAATCTGACTTTAACCGTGCAGAGGAAAGTATATAACAGCTGCATCTTGCCGGTACCTATACCTTAGGAGCATAAACCTGGGGCTTACAAAGAGGCTTCCGCTAAAGTTGAGAATGACGCATTGAGCGATGAACAAAAAAATAATAGATGGCAACCTTAAGAGACGCGAAGAGAGCAGAGTGGGTCAGGGAACAAACCGGGCTTAAGGTTAATATAGTTGACATCAAGAAGAACAAATGGACATGGGCCGGGCACATAGTACGTAGGCAGGAGAACCGCTGGTCATTAAGGGTCAATGACTGGTTTCCTACAAAATACCAACTCAAGAAGGAGAGACAGAAAGTTAGGTGGCGCGATGAGGTTACAAAGTTTGCAGGTAAAGCATGGCAGCAAAAAGCACAAGGCTGGGTTGATTGTTGGATCATGGGAGAAAAGTTTTCTCTGCAGTAGGCATAGTCAGGATGGAGATGATGATGATGATGATGATGATGATGATGTCTATTCTCTCTTAGTAAAGCTATACGCAATATCATAGCATTGCACCAATGTGAAAACTTGTAACACACTCCTTACAAATACTTGTTAGCTTACGCACCGCAGTCTGGAACTCTAGTTATGCGATAATGGACCATATGATACCTAAAGGGCGTTATCTATTAAGGTTTGAAAGCGTGCGTGCGGCTAGTTTTTAACAGTTCTGTCGCAGGAAATCAAAACAAAAAGCTTCGTCAGCATACAGAAAGTGAAAGCGGTGGCGATGGCATCTGAAGGTGGCGTTTTGTATTTGTTATCCCAGGCAACATATCGACTTCGCACAAGTCATGCCTCGAGAAGCGCATTCTACAGAACGGTTTGACGCGTTGCTACCTCTGCAACTACAAGTACGAGTACAAGCTCAAGACTAAGGTACTGTCACAGCGATGTTATCATGCTTTATTCCTTGCGCTGGTTATCTAGAGATGAAGCGGAGAGCATGCGATAGCAATGGATGGTGTGTAATGGCACACATTTTCCTATTATGATCGTGTGATTATTTTTTATTCGTCAGTGAGAGCATAGAACAAAAATAAATGAGTGCGAACCACCGAGCATACCAATTCGCCATGCTCTTTACCCCAACATTACAGCAAAAGCTGTTACAAGAAGTCTGCGAGGGTTACGTGGGTCGTTTTCCGCCGCCACCGCCGGTGTATGTCACAGCTATCGCACAAAATATGAAAAAAAAAGACAGTGAAAATATAGAACAACAGGGCCACAATAGAGTTCGAGCCCGGGTCTCTTGCATACTAGCCTAGTATCCTACCGTTTAGCTACGCCGGTGCTTCAAACATCATTGCATAGTGACCCTAATTCGTACCAGGAAAATAATACCGTTAGTATGAGTAATAAAGCATTTTAAAACAGCGAAGGAACAACCAGGTGCCGTACAACTGGATTTGGGTTACGATAGGGTCGTCAAATGCTTTAACCAATGACAAAAGTCCTAGTCGTAATTCTTCATCGTCGTCAGCCACAGCAAATAAAAAATGCACAAACTTCACTGCACGCGTGTAGTAGGCATCCTCTCCTTCAAAAAATGACAAAGAATGGCATGGTGAATGCTTCCCTATACTTCACAAAAACTATGATTTATAGCGTAGTGTTCTTCTAGCAGTTACCCAAGGAAAGTTGGAAAAAAAAAACTCTAGAAAGGCCGCTGTTTTAGCTTTCGCTGTGACTGTTCTGCGCGTTTCGCTGCTGCACTGGCGTTTTTTTTTTTTGAATGAATGGGTCGTTAAGTCCAGCATTTTCTCCAACAAGCGTCACTAAAGCATTACCTTGCATACTTGGTCAACCCTTTGATACTGATGAATCAATATAATTGTCTTAATAGTGACAATTTGTGCAAATTACAACTGTTGCAATATGCTATTGTTGTAATTACAAGCCTTGATACTGCCCCGGTAGGTAGTTTGCGTGTGAGTTTTTGTTTGGTTAAATATTTAATAAGGATGAATGTCATACTTATGATTGTTTTGGTATCTTCAGTAATCAACTCGGAAAGAATATTTTACCAATCTGCGTGTCTTGTATACTTCAGTTTACAACCTACTTAAGTTGAAGGAACCATTGCAAGAAAATGAAACCTTTTAGAATCCCATACAACAAACCCTCAACAAATACTACATTCTCCAAATGCTGTGCGCGAGAATGAATTCAGGCCTGCTGAAGATAGAAGCCGTCTGACTGCTGGTGTACGAGACAAGTAAGCGCTATGGACTACTTTAGATAGTTGAGTCACTATGCTTATTTCATTCAGTATGAATATTGTACTCTTAGGTACCCTTTATATTTAAGGTTACTGCGTGCTACAGGCGATGTCGCTTGAAAACTTAGCAAGGTCGTTTCATTGTACATGTTTTCTTGGAATATCGGGAAAGCTATCAGGAGGGAGGGTTTCAATGACATGGTTTCTATTTAGTTTTAGGAAAAAAATTTCTGCTCCTAAAGAAGAACTCAAACAGCCACTGAGGTGAACTTAGGTGACCCGCAATGTGTTTGACATATGCCTATGAATTATGAGGTGCGTAGAAAAGGGATAGCTTTTTGCTGCCAAATTTCATAACATAATATCAAGTAATTCACATGACTATCTATGTGGTCGAAAAACACCACTCCAATTGAAATAAGAGGTAAGGGAAGCTCTGCGCATGCCTAGGTGAATGGAAAATTGCTGGGTTCTCTGACTTAAGCCTTCCTTTCACACACCGAATGTTTTCTGATCCCCTTAGTGTCGATAAGTCAACAAGTAATTAGTGAGTTTTACGACCAACTCAATATTTATGATTACTATATGTGAAAAACCTCTAGGAGCAGCTTGGAGGGAGGGGGGTTCCGGCGACAGGCGTTATATGGGCACAAACTACACCCCCCACCCCCTCCATACGTCTGCAGGCATAGCAAACGCTGAAGTTTTAAACTTTGTCAGATACGAAACCATTATCTGAATACTCAGATTAGAGTACCATGCTTCTTTAAAGTGAATGTCGAGTAGTTGTCGTATAATTTGATTGAAAGAGGGAAAAATTTAGAATGAATGAGGCAATCGAAAGAATAAAATTGTACAACATCTCGTAGTTTTAATATCGTCGTAGTTAAACAAGGAAAAATAGAAAGGTGAACGCTGTGTGTTCTTGTTGTGTAACAATGAACGGTGGAACTGCTCTTGAATGTGTGGTGTTCAAGAGACTAACAGAGTTTATTTAAGGGACATTCTGCACGGGATATTCACTCTTGAACCAGCACATCTCCTGGCTTCCAACTGTTCTCGTTGCACCCACACTGTAAGATGAATGATCCCTTGACGCTCTCCTTATAGTGCATTTGAGCACACATGCGAATAATGTACGAGTGAATATTTCTTTCACAATGCACTTTTTTTTCAAAACTACCTGCTTTTCTATACAACGGTGGTGTACTCTGTTGTTAATGTCAATGTTTGAGCTCTTTTCCCTGTGCGGCGTTTTGTGAACTGGATAGAAGTAGCATTTTCAGGAGACCTTGTTATTTGAAATGTATGCCTTGGCGTTAAGGATAATGTGCCTTGACTGTGCGACTACTCAATAATTTTGCCTCTAGGTTCTACTGTGAGATAACAGTATTCTGTTCCAGAGTTCGAGGCCGTGGGCTCAATTCGTGGCCGCCAGTTACAGCTGCACAATGGGATGTCATAAAGCGCTACTCGCATATGTTCGTAGTTAGTCAGGTTTGGTAGCTGAATTGGACTCAACTCAGCACACTATAATTTAGTCGGTAGCTCCATCTAATGGCTCCTCTTAGGGCTGTAAGCTTCCTCCGAGGCGCTTAATTGAATCACTTAAACAAGTAACCATTTCGCTTTGCAGTCCGTGGCAAGGTGGTTGATATCTGAGGAACACCGACGAGACGTGTTCCAGCTGCTTTCGATGATCACTCAGTACCTGTGCGACACCGTCATCATCGTCATCGCAGTCGTCAAGAGTGTTGAGATGGTGCTACATGCGCCCTTTGTGCTGGGAATGCTGACAGCGTTCTGCTGCGGGTCGTGCGCGCTATTCTGGATGTCTCTGCTCTTTCTGGATCTGTGGTGAGTTGTCCAACGTGCTAGAACGGTTAAGACTGATTGTGAGTGTCAGGTTGTCAGTGATTGAGTGGAATGGCATGGTGAAACTGCGAATAAGGTAACTGGTGAGGCTATATTGAGAAGGTCAGCCCGATTGTATAACCTAACCTTCCTTTTGCATACTGATTGTGTTCCGTTAATTGCGGGCGTAATATTTTTGTCAATAAATATTGCGTACTTTAAGAATTTCACACTATTTGGCAACCCATTTCAGTACGAATAAGTTTGAATATGGCCACGTGCGCTTAGCCGAGTCATATATTCTTACTTGATCGTGAGTGTAATTTAATAAAATGATGCGCTTTTGGTAAACATCGTTGCATAGGCTTCTCTTGTACACCCAATCAAACGCATTTGTTACGATGAAAAAACTATCTACATGGTTTTAGGTGAATAGCTGGGCGTAAGTTTTCAGGTCTTCTTTACCTCACTGAAGCGGAGGACCCGGAAATCAAGTCTAACGTAGGGGGAACGTGCAAAGATAGGCCTGAAGAAGAGGATGGTTTTTACCAGCGTTTACGTATTCTTCAGTTTCGTCGCATTGGATAGGGAGAACTCAGGAGACAGTTTTTGGCACTTGCAGCTGGTCCGTTCGCGATTGCTGTTAGACTACTTCTGAATTACGCAATACGGCTATAAAGCCTGCTTTGTCGAGTGCACTATCAGTGCAAAAGATCTGTAAGACGTGATCAATGCCATGTAAAGGTTCAAGAACGTTGTGTGTACGTATACCGACAATTTCAGCGACGACTAGGCTACATAAAGCATTTAAGCACCTAATTCTATAAAAAAGAACAGTATTACCCGCTGCTTTATGACTTACGTCAGCATGAACATCGATAATTAGTCCTTCAGACAGCGTGAAGTAATCAGCTATCCAAGAAATAGAGTAAACATTTTGGACCAAGTTTGAAGCTAAATACATCGTGTCAAGGAAGGTAAGTGTGAGTAATTCTTGCTTTTCTTTCTCAAACACACCTTTCCTACTCAACGGGGCCGCCGAGGGGTCATTGCTGAGGCTCGTCATAGTATGAATAATATGAGTGTGATGGCGTCCTACACAAGAAGATGCAAAATGACATAACTTTAGACGTATTCAATGGCGATGAAGACAAAAGATGCTAGAGCTTCACCTTCAAGAGAAGGCGATGCTAACAAAGTATGCTCTCACAATCAGGTCTCGTTAGAATCACCTGATTCGCTTGCCGGACTTCACGGCAGGTCTCGGTGGATGCTTCAATGTTGCCTCGAGGAAAGAAACGACTGTTCATTTGAAATTAGCTGTTTTGAACTTGTCACACATGTCCCGTTTATTAGGGAGGCGATCGCCGGGCTAATTCGAAGAGCCGAAGTATCGGCCCCCCGAACCGCACCACGAAAGCGTGGACAATTTAGAAGTGGTCCTTTTTGGTGCGCCAGCGGACGCCGGCTGGGGCCCAAAGAACAAGTCAGAGCCGAGAGTTGATAAACAAACAAATTATATTCTCAATACTGGCAGATCGAAAACAATACATAAAAATGCACACTCCACAATAGTTGCATACAATATGTCACCAACCAAACCAATCAATCAACGTACTACACAATACAATCAGCCACACTTGAAACAACGGACACGGACAACAATACGCACTACAATGCAGTCCCATGCATTGAACAGCCAAGACACTTAAAGACTAGAGAGATAGAAAACCTATTCAGTCCAAAGTTCTTGGAACCAAAGTCTAGATGATACTCTTCCGAGAATCACTCACTCAAAGTCCAGCGTTGTTGTCGTTCCGCAGCCCTCGAAGTTTCTCTTCCAGGAAACCTCCCGTCTTCAATTGGCCACTCTTCAAACTTCAACTTCTTCGCCGGAACCACGTCGGCTTCACACACGCAGCTGTTGCCACGCGTCCTCGCTCAATAGCGGTAAACACACGCTCTTGCCTGTAGCTCGAGCCTTCACCAGCAGGTGGAAATCCTCTTCATCTCCGGCTTCGTCCCTACGGACCAAAAACCTTCGCCGACTACACGGCGGGATCCCTTCGCACTCTGGCGCAACTTCCGTCTTCTCCTGCTTTCTCGTCTCGGCTGCTCGATTAAATACCTTCCGCGCCACCTTCCAGAAAGTTCTCCTCATTTCGTCGGCGCGATGCGCAACGAAGGCTGGGGAGAGGCGCGAGACGGTTCGACTGCCCTCCGCGTCGGATGACTCATCTCGGCGTGGCCACGCCTCCTTCGTTCTAGAAAAATCGCGGGCTTGCTCGGCGGCCGTTGTGGGGTGAGGAGGTTCGTCGATGAAGCCACGCTTCTGCGGGGAGAGCGCGCGCCCGGGGAGCCTTGGCCGTTTGTTTTCTTTTCCTTTCCCTTTTTTTTTCTTTTGACTTCGCGGCGTTTCTTCCGCGCGTTACCGCAAGAATTTGCGGCGCGCCTATTTTTAGCGCTCGTTCTGTGACACTGCCCCCCACTTTAAGAATATTATCCCATAATATTCAAAAAGCACACAAACGAGCGCGAACAGTCACCACACACTCTCACAGATTGTAACATAGTCCGTCGCTCATGACACGTCACATTCACAATAGATCACTTAATACAATTGTACATTGTAATTAAATTACACCACATGAAATATAACCACAAGCACATGAGTACAACACTCCACCACACATTCCGAATAATACAAATGTACAAAGTTCTCTCATTACAACAATGGTCCAATACTATACATCACATCACAGCACAAACACTTCGACACTTGTGACACATGATAACACAACATTAACACAACATATGACACTCAGCACAGCCCAACACATTCTGATTCGACTTCAGCACTTATCCTGTGTATTTCGAGCTGCGCTTGCGTCCTTTCTTGCGGTGCTCGCTCGATTTCTTCTTGTTTTTCCTGGTTCTTTTTCGGCGAGCCTTTTCCAACGACGATATCTGAGGCGTCGTCTCAGCCATCGCTGTCTCTTCCGACACCGTTAACGCGTCATTACATTCGACGGGTCCTGTCTGTTTATTTACCCGCTTGATCATGCCTCTACATTTTGCCCGGCTGGCCAACTCCGTCTCCTTTACACTGTCGGTCGGTTGAGGTCGTGCCGACGTAAGTCCAGTTGCTCGGCCCGTGAACTCATTCGACACGATCGTCTTCTCCTTCGCTGTCTCTTGCGCCGCAGTTTCACCTTGGGCTCTAGTGAGATCCGTCACGGGATGCTCCTCCACTGTATCTCGCGGCCGCTGTGTTGGCGAGGGCTCTATCTTCGGGTCTTCTCCCAAACATTCTGGATCACTTGGCCCTCGCGCCCCGTCGATGTTTCCGATGACAAGGTCATAGAGCGGGGTCGTCATGCATAAAGCAGTAATCTTTCCGCTGAAGTACGGGGTTTCAACCTCAATTTCTGCTTCGGGAAGCATCCGAACTGTACGGTCAATTAGGCAAACCGGTTTCGTTTTGCCTGTTAAATCACCTTCCCGTACCAAATTTCTCCGCACGATAACAGTGGAACTGCCGGTATCTCTTAACACCGTAATCTTTTTGCCCGCAACTTTTCCAGGCAGCGTTGGCATTCCTTTCGTAACACCGGGTGGCTGTGTTGACATTACAGCACCCACAATAGGAATTTTCTCCCCATTTTTCAATTCTACGAATCCATCAGTGACGGCATTATTATCAGATTTCGGTGCCGCTTGCACACAGGATACCTGGTGAGTTTGACTCACTCCGTTCCGACATGCATCTGCTTTGTGCCCAGTCTGACCACACTTAAAACATTTTACTGCCGTAGGGCTCGTAAAGATCGTTCGACAGTTTTTCGCGCGATGACCCACTCGGTTGCACAGAAAACATCGCGGAATGCTCTCTGGTGCACGCTTCTTTTCTTCGGGAGCCAATTTCTTCGAATCATCGGGACACTCCTTCTTTACCTTGGCCAAATTACTGCCACCTTGCGCTTCCAAGAATTGATCAGCCAATTCAAGCATGTCTTCAAGTGAGTCAGCCTTCCTCTCTTTTAAGTACAGTGACAGGCTTGGGTGGCAACTGGTAAGAAATTGTTCTCTAATTAGCAGCTCTCTAAGCTCATCGTACTCCTGCGCTGTCCCTGAAAGTTCAATCCATCTGTCGAAATAATGGCAAAGTCGGGCAGCATACTGCGTAGCCGTCTCACCATCATATGGCTTTCCTGTCCGAAATCTGTCCCGGAATCCTTCCACAGTGAATCTAAATCGCTTCAACAAAGCAGCTTTCACCTTGGCATAGTTAGCTGCATCGGTCGGCGTCAGCCTACCGTACACACTGAGCGCTTCACCACTCAAGCAAGTACTCAAAGCAGTTGCCCATTGCTGTTCCGGCCAATTCTGGCTCCTCGCAATCGTCTCAAATCTGTGGAGGTACGCGTCTAGGTCGTCCTTCCTTTCATCAAACGCTACGAGCAGCTTGCTTGGGTTCAAGCGGAAGCCGTGATCTTCCCGTTCGCTGCTTTCAACTCTAGCTTGGACAGGAGTTTCACTTCGCTGTTGCAAACGGAGCCGCTCGAGTTCCATCTCGTGTTGCCGCTGCCGCTCCCTTTCAGCCATCTCCGCTTCTCTTTCTTCTTTCAGCCGTCGCTCCCTCGCTTCTCTTTCTTTCTTCAGCTGTCGCTCCCTCGCTTCTCTTTCTTCTCTCGCCGTTTCGGCTGCCAACTTCTCTCTCTCCAGCTCCAACTTCAATTGCTGCTCTCTTTCTTCCTTCAGCTGTCGCTCTTTTGCTTCTCTTTCTTCTCTCGCCCTTTCAGCTGCCAACCTCTCTCTCTCCAACTCACCTTCTTTTTCCGCTTTGGCTCTTTCGACCGCCAGCTTTTCCCTTTCCAGCTCAGCTGCCTTTTCCTCTTTGACCCTCTCTTTTTCTTCTTTTTCCCTCTGGGTGACCCACTTCCGTAGTTCGGCGCCGGAAAGACCCATCTTCTCACCAAGCGCAACTAACTTTTCGAGATCCA